GGGATTTTAATGAATGGGCAATACTGAGAGACAAAGTGAAGATTTGTTAAGGGTTACACTTTTGTCATTTTTTAGGTATTAAAGACTACTACTTTTTTTTTGAGATGGAGTCTTGCTCTGTCACCCAGGCTGGAGTGCAGTAGCTTGATGTTGGTTCACCTCCACCTGCCGGGTTCAAGTGATTCTCCTGCCTTAGCCTCCCGAGCAGCTGGGGACTACAGGTGTGCACCACTATGCCTAGCTAATTTTTGTATTTTTAGTAGAGATGGGGTTTCACCATATTGGCCAGGCTGGTCTTGAACTCCTGACCTTGTGATTCACCGCCTCAGCCTCCCAAAGTTCTGGGATTACAGGTGTGAGCCACCTCCACCGACCAAGCCTACTCCCTTAGCTATCATACTTTCAGTTGTTTAAAGTGATGATTTCCCTACACAAAGTTACAAAATTAGCATCTCTGAAAGTGAGTAATAATACCTTGGAGTTCCAAAGAGGTATCGTAATAAGATGACTAGGCGAAAGGTGACCCTGGGGAGAGTCTGTTGTAACACTGGGACCAACAGGTTCTCAAGGCACTTCAGAACTTCGGGAAATTATTTTGTACTGGATCCTCAGGAAGTATTTATGGAAATACACATCCTTTAGCAGAAGAGAGACACTTCATGCACGACTGACTTTAATGGCTCTTTCAGTCAACAAAGAAACCGCCACATGCCCCTAACATGAGCTCAGCTGTTTGGCAGGCACCCAGAGCAGGCCTTTAATTCCCAGCAGGTTTCACTAATTGGTCCTGGAGCAGACGATCTTTATGATGTTTACTACGGGAGTGGCGGCCTAGGAAACGGGAAGGCATGGTCCTTCCAGGTTACTAACAGCACTGGGGAGGCGTGACAAGGCTGTCCATTTTACAGCCTTGGACAACAACACGAAAGAACCATTACATGCTACACTCAGACTTTTTGGCTGTTTTAATATAACCTGACATTGGTGGCCAATCTCCAGTTTCCATCCTCCAACTACAGGTACGGGTGTTTCCTTTCTTTTTTTTAAAGGTCCATTAACTTCATTTAAATGTTACCATCCTTATGAATTACTAAGAAAAACAATAAGTTCAGATATTACAAAAACAATTTACAAGGTATTTATAGCTGGTCCTTTATCCCTTCTCTTTAATGCAATCTCAGAGGTTTTTTGGCTATTAGTTTTCATAATTTTCTCATGTTACACACAAAAACAAGATTCCCCTCTCTAAAATGTAGAGTATGGGGAAAATACAGATGCTGTTTTTCCAACTAAAAATGTTTTCAAAAGAATGGACTGAACGAACAAAAAAAACCTCACCCCATTAAGCTGAGTAGGACCAATCAGGCCTTACAAGTGAAAAAAAATCTCTGTCGAGCACAATAAAACAGAACGTGTACTGCTTACTCCTATTTAACCAAAAATTTCCCCTTTCTCATAATCTTCCTAGTATTATGTAAGGTTATGCCTATTTCTAGATTCTGAAATACCTGCATTTAATGCTTGCACAACCCATTTAAAATTTACAAAAGCTGCCTCTATTTCATTTTCTGATTAAAAACACACACACACACACACACACACACAAAAGGACAAACCAAACAAACCACACCACATCATACAGATAACGATCCGAATGGAAAAGTTAATGTGTTGTAATGGTATTTGTCTTGCAACATCAAAAGCAGCAGATACTGAATAGAATTTGCTTGAATCATAAATACTGAGATTGAAATATGCATGTATAAATCACAGTTGGGCTCAATGAACTAGAAGCTCTCTATACATAGAAGTATACATGAAGTGCAAAACAATATCAAAAGTGAGATCTCTGGTATTTTAGTACTCCCATTCATCGGATTTCAGGTCGAGATAGCTGAGAATATTCTGGGCAAGCTTCACAGCCTGTTTCCTGGCAGCCTTACACTTCTCCTCTCCCTGCGGGTCGACAGCATCCAGGGCTAGCAGCTGCTTGGTGAGCAGCTCTTCCAGCCGGATGTAGTTCTTATCGGTTCGATTTCCATCAAATGAAAGCACTTCTCCCTGGATCTCGGACAAGTTTCCAAGGACGTTCCAGACGGCTTTATGGGATGGGTGCTCCTCACAAGCAAACAGCTTTCTTTTCTCAAGGGCCTCCTTCAAGTCAATATAGGTGATCAGAGTTTGCACTTCTATCACCGCTCTCCTCCTGGCCTCTCGGATGCAGGGGTTTTTTTCAAGACTTACCTCATCCAACTGTCCAATCAAACCCTGCAATTCTGTTTTGGAGCTCAGATACAATTCAGGAGGGTTCTGTGCTTGCAGGAGTTCATTTTTTATTTCCCTCATTCTCTTGAGGACCTTTTCTATTTTTAAAATGGAATGATTCTGCCTCAGGTCAAACGCTCTAGTAGTGTCTGCTTCCTCTTCTAAATCCAGGTATTTCAATAATTTGTTGATATCTTCTACTACCTCCCTCCGATAATTTCTGATTTCTGTCCGGCCGCACACATCCAGAGCATCCAGGTCGGCCATCAGCCCGGAGAGCACACAAGACAAGTGCCTGCAGGTCTCGCTGCTGTTCACACCCATCAGAAGCGCAATTAGGACCCCTCGGGCCTTGTTCACCTCACACATCACAAAGTTGATTTTGGCAACAGAAGGGTGTGCATCCTCGGAGAGCGGCAGGGAAGGCTGCTTTTTCATGCAGTCTTCGATAATCTCTTGCACCGCACAGATTTTGGTTAAGGTGTGATACCTTGCTTTCCGCAAGGAGATCTTTCCTCCAGTTTTAACGTGTGTCAGCCTCAGAATGATGTCCTGGATGCCTTCTTCAAACTCATCCGTTATGCAGTTGCCTCCATTATAAAACGGCACAATTTTCTCTCTCACGAGGGACTGGGCTTCCTCAAAAATGTTCTGTATTTCAATCCTGTGTGGGTGGTTTGCATTCTGCTCCAACTCTTTGAGAAGGCGTTCTGTCTCCTGTGCTGCCCTCTTCCTGGCTTGCTGAATATCTCCTTTTCCTTCAGTATCTACAGAGTCTATTTCAAAAAGTTGTTTTGTGAGAATCCTCTCCAGTTTCTTGTAATTCTTGTCATCTGACAGACCACTGAAGCCGACAACTTGCTGTTCTATACTTTTTACTTCCTTTTGGATTTCCTGAAGCCTACTAATAGAAGGATGTTGGTTTCCCATATCCATACTTTTGTGGTGTTCAGTTTCACAAGCACTAAAAGATGACAAGAATAACTTATTACAGCACAAAGCTTCTGCAGAACATTAATGATATATTAAGACATTCTAAAATTCTCATTTTAAAAAGGTATACTTTCCAGCAGTCATCTCACTTCAGCCTCCTCAGTAGCTGGGACTACAGTCGCACATCACCACGCCCAGCTAATGTTACTACTTTTAGTAAAGGCACGTCTCACTATATTGCCCAGGCTGTCTGAGACAATCCGCCCGCCTCCGCCTCCCGAAGTGCTGGGATTACAGGTGTGAGTCACTGCACGCGGCACAAACTATTTTTTTGGAACCAGCAAGGCACCTTTGTGCAACGTCAAAGGATAGCTCTTGTAACCTTCCGAACACTAACACCCCGCTCCGCCAAACAGCTATGCCTTAGTTTCCAGAAACTCTTAAGCCAAAGACACTGAACCACTAGAACAAAAACCAGTGGCTCTCAGCCATCCCCAAGGTTCCTGCTTCTTGGTTTCTCTCCATCCCTTTGTGCACCTCCCTGCCCCATCCTTTTAGCTCCTCACACATCTTCCCTCACAGATGTCTCTCTGAAGAGGTAAAAACCCCACAGGTCTAGAAGAGCGACAGGGACTGCGCTGAAGGGCACCATCTTGGGCCTTGGAGGCCCAGAACCTCCTCAGCACCTATGGTGCTCCATTCTCTCAAAAAAATACAACCCGCGGAAACGTGATAATTATGAATAATCCATTCACTCGCCTCCCACTAAGAGTCCACTATGGCTCAATACATGTTTCATGCTCTTGGCTTCTATCAAACGGCTTGCTCAAGGTGGGTAACGAACGGAAAAGTATCCATCCCCTGTGGGTATCCTGACGGCCACGGAGCGCAGGCCGCCGGCGCTCCTTCCTCCCCGCCTCGCCCTTCCCTCTTGGCCCTTCACCCAGAAGAGACCTGAGCTGGCTGCGGTCTTGGCGTCCTGTGGTTGAGGTGGCGAGGTGGAAGATGAGCCCTTTACGGGGTGCGGCACCGGAGCTGGGCCCCGAGCTGCATCCCTCGCGCCCCTCCCGACTAGGTCTGAGCCGGGCAGCTGGTGAAGGGGCCGGCGGTGAAGGGGCCGCTACTGCTGTAGCAGCCGCTCCCGGCGTCTCGGCCGGGGTTCCAGGGCGCGCCCGCCGGCCCTGACCTCACAATGGGCCCGCGAGAGGCGCTCGACCCGGCCGGGTAGAGCCTGTCAAGGAGGGGAGCCGAGGCCCGGCCGGAGACACCAGAGACCAGAGCTGGCCTGCCCCGACCCGCGTCCGACCCAGGGGCGGGGACGGCACCGAGTCCGGCCCGGTCCTGCCTGTGCCAACAGGCCACGCGGGGGTGGGCGCTGGGATACGGGTGGCAGGGTGGGGAGCCCCGCGCCGATGTGAGGCTGCACTCGTCCCCGCGACGAAGGGAAAAGGCCACACGCCGCACTTTGCTTACCTGTCCCGCCCGCGCCATCGCGCGACGCGCCGCTGACGCCTCCACGACTTCCGCAGTTCAGGCCGTCGCCCGGGCCCGCCTGCCCCGCCCCGGGCCGAACAACCCCAAACCCGGGGACACCTCCGGCGTCTGCTCCTAGCCGCCGTCTGCGCCACGCCCACCGCCAGTGCGCAGCGAGGCAGCCTGGAGTGGCCGCGACCAAGGAGCGGCCGGCCGGGTCAGTCGGCGCCGCCTGCCGACCCCGCCGCCGCCGCACCGCAGGGAAAGCGCACGATCGGCCGCGTCGCCGCGCTCCCTCGGGCTTCGCGACCCTGCCGTAAAACGGTCCCTCGCGTCGTCGCAATGCTGCCGTGCGCCGCGGGAGCCAGGCGGCGTGGGGCCATGGTGGCCTTGCGGGCGGGAAAGAGGAGCCTTCTCCCTCCTCTCTGCCGCGCCTTCGCCGGCCGCGGTTGTCAGCTAGCCCCCGAGCGCGGCGCCGAGCGCAGGGATGCGGCTCCCAGCGGGGTAAGCAGGCGCCTGGGGACGTTGGGCCGGGAGGGGCGGCCCCAAGCCTCCCGCGTCAACGCCCTCGGTTCGATGGGACTGAGGGTGCCGCCGCCCCGTCGAGGACTGTTGACAGCCAGAACCTTTAAGCATAACAGAGTCACCTACCAAGTTTGTACCTATCTTATTTATTCCTGAGAATTATTTTTTTTTAATTTGTGACAGAGTTTTGCTTTTGTTGCCCAGGCTAGAGTGCAGTGTCGCGATCTTGGCTCACTGTAGTCTCCGCGTCCTAGGTTCAAGCGATTCTCCTGCTTCAGCCTCCCTAGGAGCTGGGGTTACCGGCACCCACAGGCACCCACAACCACGTCTGGCTAACTTTTGTATTTTTAGCAGAGAGGGGGGTTTCACCATGTTGGCCAGGCTAGTCTCGAACTCCTGACCTCTGGTGGTCTGCCCTCCTCGGCCTCCCAAAGTGCTGGGATTACAGGCGTGAGCCACCACTCCCGGCCAAGAATGATTATTTTTTATATTTAAAGATCTCTGGGCGTAGACAGCGTGCATTTTTTCCGTGTTTGTGTGTGTGTGTGTGCGTGTGTGTGTTCTGGCTTTGTTAAAATTATTACTGCTTTTCTTCAAGTGGTGAGCACTTTATCATCATACTTTTGTAGCACTTCACGTTGAATAGTTGTTCTTATTTGCAAACTGTGTGTGGGTATATGCATGTTACTGGCCAAAGATTCACAAAGAATGTAGCAAGAAAGAGTGACAAGCAATTTTTTTTTTTTTTTTTGAGATGGAGTCTCACTCTGTCACCCAGGCTGGAATGCAGTGGTACCACCTCGGCTCACTGCAACCTCCACCTCCAGGGTTCAAGCGATTCTCTTGCCTCAGGCTCCTGGGTAGCTGGGAATATAGGCACCCACCATCTCACCCAGCTAATTTTTGTATTTTTAGTAGAGACGGGGTTTCACCATCTTGGCCAGGATGGTCTCGATCTCTTGACCTCGTGATCTGCCCGCCTTGGCTTCTGAAAGTACTGGGATTACAGGCATGAGCCACCGCACCCAGTGGCAAGCAATTTTTTTAAGTTGTACTTCTTATAAAGGATGGGAGGCCTTTATAAGAAGGCCTTTTAGCTTCTTGGGAGGGGTGTTTTGTTTAAGGAAGGTCTAGGCCTTGATTCCATCTGTCAGATGAAAATGTTGACTAACAGTGCGGAAGGGGCTGGAGATAAAATATTCAACCTAAGCATGCAAATATTAAGTAGGTTAGTGAGGGAGGCTGGAAAGCTTGGTTTAAACAAAAATTAAAGAAGTAGGCAGGTACGGTGGCTCAGGCCTGTAATCCCAGCACTTTGGGAGGCCGAGGTGGGTGGATCACAAGGTCAGGAGTTCGAGACCAGCCTGGCCAACATGGTAAAACCCTGTCTCTACTAAAAATACAAAAATTAGCTGAGTGTGGTAGTGGGCACCTGTAGTCCCAGCTACTCAGGAGGCTGAGGCAGGAGAATTGCTTGAACGCAGAATTGCTTGAACCCAGGAGGCAGAGGTTGTAGTGAGCCGAGGTGGCGCCACTGCACTCCAACCTGAGTGACAGAGTGAGACTCTGCCTCAAAAAAGTGGCGGGGCTCGGTGGCTTACGCCTGTAATTCCAGCACTTTGGGAGGCCGAGGCGGGCAGATAACGAGGTCAGGAGATCGAGACCATCCTGGCCAGCATGGTGAAACCCCCTCTCTACTAAAATACAAAAAAATTAGCTGGGCGTGGTGGCACATGCCTGTAATCCCAGCTACTCAGGAGGCTGATGCAGGGGGTATCGCATGAACCCGGGAGTTGGAGGTTGCAGTGAGCTGAGATTGAGCCACTGCACTCCAGCCTGATGACAGCGAGACTTCATCTTCAAAAAAAAAAAAAGCTAATTAAAAATTGCAAATGTGCCTGCCTATACATTTTCATTTCTGTTGGGCTGTGGCTGTTAGCACACTTTTATAATTGTAGCTTTGAAGGTCTGTCTAGTTTACAGTTTAAACAAGGAGTTACCAGAGCAACCTGTCAAACAGACACCCGAGTGGCTAGCTCATTTCTGTGTTACACTGGCCAAGCTCTTGCCTTTTATTTCTAGAGCATAGAAACCCATTCAGCATCTCTGTCTTTGGGCAGAAAGATACAACAAGTATCTGAAAATGCTCTAAGACAGCAAACTGGAAATCAACCAAGACTTTTCCCCAGGGGGAGGATTCTCCCTAGCTTATTTTGTGAACTCGTACTGGAAAGAAATAAGGATTTCTCCATTGTCATATAGACTTTTTTTTTTTTTTTTTTTTTTTTTTTTTTTTTTTTTCTTTTTTTTTTTTTTTTTTTTTTTTTTGGAGATGGAGTCTCCCTCTGTTGCCCAGGCTGGAGTACAGTGGTGCGATCTCGGCTCAGTGCAATCTCCGCCTCCTGGGCTCAAGCGATTCTCGTACCTCAGCCTTCCAATTAGCTTGGATTACAGGTGCCCACCACCATGCCCAGCTAATTTTTTGTAATTTTAGTAGAGACAACTCCTGACCTCAAGTTATCCGCCCGCCTTGGCTTCCCAAACTGCTAGGTTAAAAGCATGTACCACGGCTCCCAGCATTTCTTCCTGTTAAAGTGAAATAAATCTTACCATGGATCTGTTCTCAAGATGAGAGACCTCTCTGGCCTGTTTGTTTGTTTGTTTGAGACAGAGTTATTGCCCTGTTGCCCAGGCTGGAGTGCAATGGCACAATTTTGGCTCACTGAAACCTCCGCCTCCTGCGTTCAAGCGATTTCCCTGCCTCAGCCTCCCTAGTAGCTGGGATTGCAGGCATGCACCCCCATGCCCAGCTAATTTTTTGTTTGTTTGTTTGTTTTTAAGTAGAGATGGGATTTCACCATGTTGGCCAAGCTGGTCTCGAACTCCTGACTTCAGATGATGCCCCCGCCTTAGCATCCCAAAATGCTGGGATTACAAGCGTGAGCCACTGAGCCCTGCCAGCACCAGCTTTTAATTGAAAAATATTATAGAACTTTAGAGTCAGGCACCATTCTTCTTTCCAAATTTACTTTAAAACTCAGCTTTTCAGAAATATCTGCTTTTGGTAAAGAGAAATAAAACTGGACTTTTAAATTCTGTTCCCTTGCCACTTCATGCCTGCCTGTGTCTTATCTATGTAGTTTGCATCATTGGTTCCTAAACTTGTTTGCACATAAGAGTTAGTCTGGCTTTTTTAGTTCTTTTTCTTCTTTAATCTCGCAGTTTCCAAACCAGAATAGGTTCAGAGATACTCCCTTTTAGTTCTTTTTTAATCCATAGGTTCTGCCTCCATCACCTCCCTACCTTTTTTCTTTTTTTTTTTTTTGAGATGGAGTTTCGCTCTGTCGCCCAGGCTGGAGTGCAGTAGCACCATCTGGGCGCACTGCAACCTCCACCTCCCGGATTCAAACGATCTCCTGCCTCAGCCTCCTGAGTAGTACCTCCTTGCCTTTTTTTTTTAAAGGAATTTATTTGGAGAGGGGATCACATTTCCTTTGAAACTTCTTTGGATTTTGCTGATTGCATCTTCATGGTGTAATTTAACATGTTCCTCTGACCTCTGTTTCCTGTAAATTGACAGCTATAGTCTAGAGCCTTGACCACATTCAGATTTTTTGTTCTTTTTTTTGAGACTGAGTCTTGCTCAGTCACCCAGGCTGGAGTGCAATGGTGCGATCTCAGCTCACTGCAACCTCCATGTCCCAGGTTCAAGCGATTCTCCTGCCTCAGCCTCCCCAGTAACTGGGATTACACTCGCCCGCCACCATACCCGGCTAATTTTTGTATTTTTTGTAGAGACAGGATTTCACCATGTTGGCCAGGCTGGTCTTGAACTCCTGACCTCAGGTGATCTGCCTACTTCAGCCTCCCAGAGTGCTGGGATTACAGGTGTGAGCCATCGCACCTGGCCAACCACATTCAGATTTAACTTTTTGAGAGATGGTGCAGGGGAGACTACTTCATTGGTGGTGTGTTCTTCCATCAGGATTGAGTGATTTTGTTTTTCTTTTTCTTTTTCTTTTTTTTTTTTTTGAAACAGAGTTGCACTCTTGTCGCCCAGGCTGAAGTGCAGTGATGTGATCTTGGCTCATTGCAACCTCTACCTCCCAGGTTCAAGCAATTGTCCTTCCTCAGCCTCCTGAATTGCTGGGATTACAGGCACCTACCACCATGTCCAGCTAATTTTTGTATTTTTAGTAGAGATGGGGCTTCACCCTGTTGGCCAGGCTGGTCTTGAACTCCTAACCTTAGGTGATCCACCTGCCTCAGCTTCCCAAAGTGCTGGGATTGCAGGCATGAGCCTCTGCGCCCAGCCTTTCTTATTTTTTTTTTAGAGATGGGGTCTCACTCTGTTGCCCTGTTGCCCAGGCTGGAGTGCAGTGGCATGATCTCAGCCCACTGCAACCTCTGCCTCACAGGTTCAAGTGATTGTCCTGCTCCAGCCTCCTGAGTAGCTGGGATTACAGGCATCCACCACCATGCCCAGCTCATTTTTTGTGTTTTTAGTAGAGATTGGGTTTCACAATGTTTGCCAGGCTGGTCTCGAACTCCTCACCTCGTGATCCGCCCATCTCGGCCTCCCAAAGTGCTGAGATTACAGGCGTGAACCACCGTACCCGGCCCAAAGTCACTTTTAGCTTCAAAAACGAGCTGTGGTGTATACTTTCTTTTTCTGTTTCCATGGATTGCTTACTAAGGTTTGAATTCTTCTGTGACTGGTAGAAGCTACAAGACATTTGAACCTGAGTTTTCATAAGAACAGGCCATTTTAACCCCGTCTTCTTCTTGGTTAGAGGTTTAGAGTTACTAAACTGGTAAATAGGAGTGATCCAGCTGGGCATGGTGGCTCACACCTGTAATCCCAGCACTTTGGGAGGCAGAGGTGGGTGGATCACCTGAGGTCAGGAGTTAAAGACCAGCCTGGCCAATATGGTGAAACTCTCTCTCTACAATAATACAAAAATCAGTTGGGCATGATG